CACAATACATGACTCAAAGCTTCATGCTCTAAGCAAAAACTAAGCACAAACACATCCACAAGTGCCAAAGAGCACAGATCTCTGTTCACAAGCTTTTAAACTGATCATAGACCCACAGGATTCAAACCTATGTGATCCAGAGACACAAAACACAATAAAACCCCATCTGACAGACCAAAGGGTCTGAACCTCTGCCAATCTGTGGAAATAACACAAAAGCACACACTAATCAAGCCAAAGGGTTTGAACCTCTGCCACCTGTAGCACCATGCATCACAAATACCTCAAAAACTCAAGATGATGCCCTTCAGACACCACTCTTATTCTCAGATTAGAGCACAATCCAAAACCTCTTGTCAAACTGGGCTTAAGTTCTTTGTGAGCTTCAATGCCTTGCTTAGTTCTCACAGCTCTCTCAAGGATATTCAATAATAATTTTATTCTCTTGCCCAAAGTTACAAACACAAATCCAGAACTAGAGTGCAAGGCCTTCTGTGCCCAATACACCACAACTGTGGGGGTTGGAAACTTGTCCTCTACTCATACAATACCATATTTAAATACTCTACTAGGATACTTACTAATACAATCCTACTATGGTATCTTCAAAGTGTAGGACTCTATGTTGGATTCCATGGTTATTATGCATATGCATATTGCAGTCACCACACTTATTCTCTTCTGAGTGAGGACTGTGCCCACTGTTTCTTCACTAGCTGACATTGGCTAGCTGGCCTCATCAGGTCTGCTCACTTTCTTATTTATCTGGTGACATCTTTGACAGTAGTAAACTGTTTCAGACCCCTGAGGTTATCTCTTGTGCCAGGAGTCAGCCACAATGGCTATGTTTTGCTTCTCTATGTCCAGCCAGTCATTCCATCTGACTCACCAAAGGTGCCATTTCTCAGTATAATGTGGAGTCCCTCACTGTGTTATGTGTGCTAAGGCACCATAAGTATGCACACAAGGCTCAGGGTGATATGCATGCTATTCATTTCTGGGGTAATATTCCTCTACTTATTACTTTGTTATCATCATTCTATTTCTCTGTTCAATACCCATTTACTCAGATACTTTTCTTTGGTTTTTAGTTCTCTGTTCTAAAGCATGTCCCATCAGTGCATCAATGGCTGTGTATCTTTGATCAATGTGATCAGAATTGCTGATCATAGTCTTTTTATTTTTAGCATGTTCTTTCATAATAGTATTGGCACATTTAGGGCCAAGTGCTGGGACCTCACATGCAGCCTAACCCCTCTGGTATTAGTCTGTTACTAGGCCATGCACTCTGCTTATTGTTACTTCAGTTTAGCATTATGATAGCTAGGTTTCTGTGCACTCTAGTTCTATTTTCTGTTACATGCTTACTGGACTGGAATGCAGCCCATGTATTCACAATTTTCACAATTTTACATGCCTGAACATGGAGAGGGCATGTCAACATCTTCAGGCATGCTTTGAGCCACAATATGACTCCAAAGGTCTTGTAATTCCATCTCCAAACACTGGACATGGTTTTTGCTATAAACATTCTGACATCAATGCAATGAACTCACCAGACTCAGATGAACCCATTGATGAACCCATTGATGAAACCACTGTTGAGCCAGAGCTTACTGAGACAGATGTTGTCACAGGAATAACCTTTGTATTGTATGATAATAACTATATCACATATACAGAAGCTCTTGAGCTTGCATTTCAGACAGCAGTAGAGATGGCAAACCAAGCATCTGCACCCAATGATGAACCAAAGACACTTGCAGAGGCAATGACTCAGCCAGGAGAGGAAAGTGAAAAATGGTATGAGGCAGCTCAGCAGAAATTGAATACACTGCAGGAGAGTGGCACCTTTGAGCTTGTGAAGCTCTCCCCAGGGCAAAAGGCTATAGATGGAAAATGGGTCTTCAAAGTGAAGCATAACTCTGATGGATCCATTGAACACTACAAGGCATGCTATGTTGCAAAAAGGTACTCACAGTGGCCAGGTTTTGACTACACTGAAATCTTCTCTCCTACTCCAAAATAAGCAGCCATCCAAACAGTCCTCACTCTTGCTGCACTTGAGGACCTAGAGCTCTGGAGTGTGGACATCTCATCAGTGTTTCTGAATGGTGATCTAAAAGAGAAGGTATACCTTCAACAACTAGAGGGATTTGAGACAAAGGACAAGAGCTGAGTGCTTTGTCTCTTCAAGTCCATCTATGGACTGAAGCAGGCTGAGCATGAATGGCACAAAAAGCTCCACAGCACTATGACCAAGATAGGCTTTGGCAGAGTATGCTGTGAACACAGTGTATGAGTGTACAAGAGAGATGATGCTCAGATTATTGTTCCAGTGTTTGTTGATGATGTAACAATTGCTGCAAAGTCCATGGAGTCTGCATGACATATTGTTGATGATCTCAAGAAGCACTTCAAACTTCACAATCTAGATCCAACTTCATTCCTCCTTGATGTCAAAATACACAGAGACCATCTAAACTGAACACTCACACTCTCTCAATCACAGTACATCTAAAAAATCCTAAAACATACTGAAATGTCTGACTGTAACAGTGTCAGTACTCTTCTTGATCCACACACTAAGCTATCCAACTCAATGTCCCCTGCTACTCCAGAAGAATGGGAAACCATGTGGCACATCCCATATCTCCAGATCCTTGGCTCTGTAGCATACCTGGCCATCACCACTCATCCTGACATAGCTTTTGCAGTCAGTGTCCTATCATGTTTCAGCAAAAACCCTGGATTGAGACATTGGGAGGCCCTGAAATGCCTCCTCAGATACATAAAGGGAATAATCAACCTAAAATTGACATATTCACCTGATGCTACAAACCCAGACCTGTTCAAAACATACACAGATGCAGATCATGGTGGAAACCCAGACAATGGGCACTCAACCTCAGAATATGTTGTCAAGATGGGCACAGATGCAGTCAGCTGGATGAGCTGGCTAAAATCTATAGTAATCTTATCAACCACAGAGGCTGAATATGTGGCTGCAAAATCTGTTCACAGAATTTAACTTCCATCATCTATCACTATCTCCACTGCTGATTGACAACCAGTCTGCTCTCTCTGTCACTCTCAATCCTGATCATCATGATTGTGTCAAACATCTTGATCTCTGCTTCTACTGGTTATGAGATGAGGTTGAGTGGGAGCACATACATATTAAACATCTTCACAAAGGCTTTAGAAAAGGAGAAGATGACTCACATGATCAGGCTGTTGGGTCTTGAACTCTGAGAAGTATTGTGTCAAGGGGGAGTGTTGCAGGATGACACAAGTACCTGATGTCAACCTTATATAAGCATAGACAGTTTTGTCCTGAGTCAACAGTTAATTGCCTTTAAGCAATTGACTGTCATACTCAGGTAAGTAGTAGTCATATGTATCTCAGCCTTTAAGCAATTGACCATCATACTCAGTCTGGCCTATTATCCACTGCATGAAAGTAACCTGCCTGCAACAGATACTCCAATCAGGAATTGATGTTTGTGTTTGACATATTGATAGAAAAGATAATATTCAGACTGATATGCTTTTCCAACTCATATTGAATGAATATCATCATAAATTCCCTGCTGACCACATACACACTTTCACTCCACTAAGAGACCTACTGCCAGTGCTATGGAGACAATCCTTCTAACTGCACTGGACAAGCATGCCCCTTGCATTGCTTGCCCAGCTTTCTCTCTTTCTCTTCTCAATGAACATGTTCTGTTTCTCCAAGCCCATGCAATCAAGCTCAGAGCAGCAAAGAGTTATGCAACAGAAGTGCATGACTACATACAGTTTTGCATTACTCATGCATTGCTGCTTGAACCAACACCACTTACTCTCAGCAGGTATATCACCTATACATCTCAGTTCATCTCATCTGGCCCAAAATACTTGACTGGAGTCCATCACTTTCTAAAAGACCTCTATCCTGACTTTGATGCCAGTCAGAAACATCTTATGGTACAAGCTACTATCCATGGTTCAAGAAAGACAAGAGGTGATCCCACATCCCAAAAACTACCTCTTCAATTATCCCACTTGATCACCTTTTGTCTTCTTGCTAACATCTCAAATTCTTGTGATGACCTCTTATTTGCCACCATCCTTGCTTGCTGCTTTTATGGCTGCCACTGGTCAGATGAGCTCATTTGGAAAAATGACAAACAACTTTAAGACTTTCACAAAATAATCAAACATTCTTTCTTCATTCTCTGAAAGAATGATGTACAATACCATCTTCCTTACAATGAATCTGACCTCTTCTACCATGGCACCAACATCCTACTCACATGACAGGAGCTCACAGACCCTGTCATGCTCCTATCACAATATATAAAATGCCAAGATCTTCTTCCTGGCCCATGTGCTCCACTCTTTCTCCATGAAAATGGTGATATTCCATTGTGAAATTGGTTCAACAAGAAGTTTTTTGCAATTCTAGGCAGAGACTTTGGTGGTCACTCTGCTAGGGCTGGAGGAGCTATATTTTATGCATCACTCAGACTTTCAGAATCCATCATACAAGCTCTTGGTTGGTGATCATCTAAAACATAGACCACTTACATTTGGGAACACTCTGCCCTACAGGCACAGCTGCAGTTAGCATATTTATGCACTCATCATCCCCTCCCCTAACCATCTCTCCTGCAACCCATTCAACCTTCTCAAACCACCACCACCCCCACCTCTCACCAACCAAAAGCACATAATAGCCATTCACACATTGAAATTGATTTGAGGGCAGTTTCTGAGACCCTCAGTATAGCCGGTTACATCCCACTCCTCGAGCAAGCAGCAGAGGTTGAATAACACAGCCTGATGTATGACATAATTCAAATATCCAGATCACATCATAGCAACAAGCGGAATCCTACCTCGAGGCTGACGAGCTGTAGTAGCATGATAACGGCACTTTCGGAATATCCTTTCCAAATGGAGGCATGCCGGGCTTTAATCCTGTCCTCGTATTTAAAGGCACTGTTGTAAGGCCGTAGGATGATGCATTATCGTAAGCACGCCGAAAATGCGTGTCTATCATTCATGGTATATCTACCTGACCGTAGTCGACCCCTCGCCTACCGTCAATGTCTTTCCTTCATATCTTAAAAACCGTATGTCCTAACCTTCCCTTCCATCATCTCCCCATCTGCTAATCCGCGAACCAGATCCTCCTGCATGGCCAACACGCCTGCGTCTACCCAGCAGCTTTTGAACCCAAGCGCGATCGAAGTATGCTCTGTCCTCTTAGTATACCTCTCCTTACACTGTGGACAGGTCGACGCTACGACTTCTTCCGGACCTGGGTGGTGCGGAGCACGGACAGGCTAACGCTTGTGGAGGTGACAACTTCCGACAAGGTGGCTTTGAGATGTGCAATATATTTACATGGCTCGGATTCGGATTCGGAATCACACTCAGACTCGATTTTGGTGGGACATTCCTTCCATGTTCGGGAATCTTGCTTACCTTCAACTACTCAGCCTCCCCTCGCCACGCTCATTCTCTTTCATGGAAATGCCTGTCATTGGTGGGACATTACAGATCTTGCTGAGCAATTCTACGCAAGACGCTGTAACGTTCTTCTGGTTTCTTACCGAGGGTAAATATCATTCTCTTTTTCCAAGTGTCCCATCTTCATTCTTTAAAGATACGGAACTTCCGGTGGCTTTCCTTCTGAGAAAGGTGAAACTTTCCTTGTTTCCGTTTCCGTTGACTGAAGGTGATTATCTAGGTCTGAGGGAGGATGCGCAGGCTGTGCTTGAGTACGTGTTAGCTGATCAGCAGCTCTCCCAGGTGCCAATTGTATGTGTCTTTCACTTGCGAACATAGCACTCATACTTATAGCTTACTTTAAAGATTGTATACGGCCACTCATTAGGCGGGGCCGTAGCCATCGACCTCGTCAGCCGAAATCCCACCAAGGTACATGCCAAAAGTCCTGGCCCGCTCTCCAACTAAATTCGTACAACAGGTGTCCGCTCTCATAGTGGAGAACACGTTCCTTTCCATACGCAGCATCGTCCGAGGCTGGAGCGTCCTCCGCCTTTTTGCTTTCATCGTCCACCAGAAATGGGATTCCGAGTCCAAAATCTCGTCCATACCAGGGACGCTGCCGCTCCTCATGCTCAGCGGAGAGGCAGACCCCGTTGTTCCCGAAGCGCATATGAGGAAATTGTGGGAACTACGTTCGCCCGGCGATTTGGATATATTCAGGTCTTTCCCTCGCGGTGGACATGGTAGGAGATCTCTTTGCCTTTAACGTGCAGAGTATGCGCTGATGATCTGGATACAGAACCTAGCTTGACCAAACCGGAGTATTGGGACACGATAGATACATTCTTTAGTGCTGTCCTTCAGAGGCAGGAATCTGCTACCTCTTCTTCATGAGCAGGCCTTGTGAGAGAGCATATGATCTCAATATTTTTCCATTTTCTTTATATGTATAGTAACTGACGCTCCTGTTCCCTAATATTATGCGGAATACGCAGTACAGCATATGACGCATAATATGAATCCGTACGAAATTGCATTAACAACCTATGGTGTGCGCGAGAATACACCGAAACAGTCCCACTCTCTGTTGATCCCCTATCGCTGCTATGAATTGATAATGTCATTTCTAGTTCTTTGCCTTGAAAGCAGCACACCATTCAATCAGGGTTATCCGGGGTGATCTAGCAGTACAAGGCGAACCTCAAAAATCGACTGAAAAGTCATAGCGATCCGCAGGCGGCAAGGCCTCCAACACACAACCATCGGATTCATCCAATCCACCCTTCCTAATCTGGTCCAAATAGGATGACTGCTTACTTGAGATATGCACCATATCTAATTTTTTGACACCCAGAGCCACACTCGTTGCTTCATCCAACCTTCCCCTGATGAAATTAACGAGCGTCACGACATGGTCTTCATGGAGATGAACTTCATCTTGGTCCCAAAATCTGATCCGCAGTCTCCGCAAATTAGGAATGAATTCATACCTATTCCAAGGGTAGAAAACTGCGGCCAACCAGCAAGATAATTTGATAGTCACTGTAAAATCCTCAACCGTCTGCGCATAATATGAATGGATGAACTGCTTTAGGACCGCTATCTCGGTCATGGATAGGCTGCGCAGATGAGACGAGGATCTGTCCACGAAAGCCGACATCGCTTCGGTGCAGGCACTCATAGGTGCTCCCCATTGTTCGTCAATCTCTAGGTGCTCCAATGAGGGCAACGTTAGAACGTTCAAAATGCGTGTGATATTCACGACCAAATATTTGATGCGGTCGTTCTGGATGGGTGATAATGGAAAGACACTATCCTTGCCATTATACTGCAAGCGGCACTCGAAAAGAGCGGGAAACTCGAAGATAGTCTTGATATCGTCCAGATGATCGAGCTCTCCTGCAAAATGAGTGACATGGTTCCCAGTCAACATCGGTTCGGAAAACGTTAGTCCGTGAAGGCCTATTTTTCGTAGAGATGGGACATTGGAAAACAAGTCTCTGTACTCGTCATTGTCATCAGGGATAGATCGGTAATGGGTACACAGCTGGATTCGAGCCTCCTCCAAAAGGAGAATTTTTCCCACATTGAGCAGAAAGATGCGTGAGGAATTCCATTGGCATCACGAAATGCACAAATTTCCACCGTGGCGAGATCTTCATTAGCACCTCGAAGAACGGCTCGCGGAGATCGGGACTCCACTCTGCTCGTTGAGAAAACATTGCACTCACTGATATGCAGCGGACAATCTCGTGAACGGCGAAGATACTCGGCGAGGACTTGGAGCGACTGAGAGGTGTATACGCCCTTCAACGTGGGTCTGGACCATACCAAAGGCGTGTCAAGAACGAGGTCGCGCCATAGAGCACACACCTGTCCTAAAGTCCACGGGCCACTGCTGAGATCGAGACTATCATGATCAACAGTCACGTGGGAGAAGATCTCTATGAGGACATCCGGCGGGAGGTGCCACACAGGTACAGGAGCAGGTCTGCGCCTTACTGGGAAGAGTGCGAGTCGGGTCCCTCTGTGAGACTAAGAAAGCACTCTGCTCATCGAAGTATCTGACTTGACGCTCGAGGGGGGGAATCTCTTTGTCGAAGCGCGCCTTGTCGAGGTCGGTGAGAAGGATACCAGTAGGATGACGGAAAAAGGAGGATATGGGCGTGACATCGATCGAATTGTCGGAGATCTCGAATGAGGTCGACATGCTTTACGAGCTCTGCAAATATTTATCAGTCGATCAGAAAAGTTGGACTCGAACAAGTGACACCTCCCTCACCTGACAGAAATACGCGTATTTTGCAACTTTCAAATCAATAGCACTTTGACAAAGGAGCAGACAAGGGGTATTCTGTTTGTGTTTTGGAAGAGCCGAGAGATAAGGCAGGAGAGTCGTCGTAGAGTTTCAACCAAGTGGTATTGGTGGTACCGGCATAAGGACCCAATCTGGCTAGGCCGGAAAGACACCGAAAAAGCCCGAGCCTTGAATCATATTTTTGTTCACTTTATTATATGCAGAGTAACCAAAGTTCCTGTTCCCTAACACAATATATACACAGTATATATGAAAACCTATCACGAAATTACATTAGAAACCTGCGGCGCACGAGAATACACCGAAACAGTCCCACTCTCCGCTGACCTCCTACCAGACGACGGCGTAATCTGACCGAACCCCAACGCCCAGGTCAAGTCCAGCTCGGCCGTCAGATACGCAATCTCACTTCGCATCCCGGCAATCTGTTTTCGCAGACGCTCCTCGCCAGCACCCTGACCTTCCTCCAAGCTGATCTTTGCGGATCGCAACGAGACCTCGCGTCTCAGATGTGCAGCAAATTGCTGTAATTCCGACTGTCTAATGGTCGGTGGAAGAGGGAAGGAGAGGAAAGTCACATTTTCGCTGGTGGTTGCGGAATACAGAGACGGGTCGGATGTCCGCACACTCTGTACGGCAGCGGGAACGTCCGGCGTTCCTCTGGATACAAAGGAGAAATTCCCGACTCCTCTTGCTGGTTCCAACGATTTAGGCGACACGAGGGCGAGATGCTGATCAGAGGGTAATATGATTGCTGGTGATTCTGGATCAGCAATGGAAAGTGGTTTCCTACTTAGTCTATTCCGTCGCGGGACCCGCGTGCGCTGGAGGAATAGATATAGAATGATTCCTAGGACCCCGAGGAACGATGTTGCCCCCAAGGCGAGGTTGACCATCTGCACCATGAGCATCACGCTGCATTCTGGCCATTCAAATCAGGATCACCGGCTGGACTGAAAGGACTTACCGATCAGCAGGTGTACTGGTTGAAGAAGGCTGTGAATCGGAGTTATTTCCCAGAAGATCAAAAGGTTCGCTCTCAGTGACGAGGGTGTCTGCTTGAGACCTAAACACCGCTTCAGTGATATCGACAAAGAGTAGAAGCAAAGGGCATACTCAGAGTCGGAACGAAGGAGCGCATGAATGATACAGTTCCTATATCGGATTCTATGTCAGAGAAAGCAGGCACAAAAGATTCCGGGACTCACCCAAACGAAACAACAGATATATCTTCAGTCGTATCGGACGTAAAATTGGCGACGTTGGAAACAGAATCATCCGTCTGCCCCTCATTCGTGCAATACATGGATAGGTAGAAATTGGCTGGATCACCATCCGAGTAGGTCAGCACTACGGAGATGGTTTCGCCTATCCGCACATAGCCAGGCACAGAGACGGTGATATTGAGTCCGAATGACCTTTTTGCAATGGATCTGCATGGGAGTTACACGGTGGGAATGTCTTCTGTAACTATGCTGAACGACGCACAATATGAGCAAGAGCAAGCCATACATGAGCCTCCGATTAAAACGGAAAAGAACAGTGTGTCGAGCGGATGTGAGAGGGAACGACAGAATGGCGATCTATTGAAAGATGGTCGTGTCGTGCTTATGTATGGAAGCAGGATGGGAATATCAGAGAGATGGTTGAGAGGACAGTGATCATCTTGCCATGTTCCGTGTGACTGTCAGAATATTCCAGTCGCTCCGAACAGACATGTTCACCGTGTCTTCTCCAGGCAAGATCGCAAAAGAAGCCAGCCCGGTAGTAACTATGGGCAGCACAGGTAAAGGTCATGTAATAATTTAGACGCTGTCGTCGAGGCAGAAGAAATTGAGCTCTTTGATCATACAATTTAATCCAGTGTACAAGCATCAGTGATGAAATTCACTCACTAAACCATCGCTCGGGGAGCTATCATGTTCCCCTGATATATTCCCACACATCATCGCGGTTTATAATATTCAAACGTTTAAGTACGTGTGGCGAATCAGAGTGGTGCACATCCCTTTGAGGAGGCGCTCCCGCCAGGCAAAGATGACACTGTGATGATTGCACAAGTCTGATGGTTCAGAGTTGCCAACTAGAGAATGAGAGGGGGGAAATATTTATGTCTTCTTGTTGAGAGACCAGATTGAGAATGCTACAGTGTATTGGTGGATATCGCCGCGAACAAATTCATACACAGATACACCCCAGGATATTGCCCAAGTCCTCGCTCATTGGGCCTGACTATCAGTTGTTTGTTCTGATATCAAAGAGGTGTAGTTTGGATGAGGACAGGACCTGTGTCATCGACTCTGAGTCTGCTGTCAGGTCGATTCAAAGCTCCCGGGCCGGACTCTTCCGACTGCGTCCTCGGACTTAACTTTTAAGCGACCGTATCATTGAACCTCGCACTCTCGCCTCCTGCTCCCTCGAGACGACAAGGATGTGAGGATGATGAACAACCTCACCGATGACCTCGTACAGAAGACAGCGCGTGATAAAAAATGGGTAGCGCACGATCCTTCCCTGTCTACTATCCTTGCCCCGTTACTGAACCTAACATCTCTAGGCATATACACCCTCTGCTGGAGGAACCCTTCGCGCATACACCAGTGCATACTGTCATTCGAGCACACAATTACGCCTCAGATAACTTCTCCATATCTGGACTACGTGCACTTTGGCACCCTCCCAGGACTCTTGGGTATTTTGGTGATGCTTCGAGGGCTGAAGAGGTTGCCATTTGGTGTCATTATGGCACCGCCGTATCTAGCGGTACTTCTGAGGCAGATGATGGTCCGAGGAGCTAGGCATGGAGAGAAGCGCAAGAGTAGTAGAGCTGCTGATGGGGAGTCCGTGGGTAATGGCGTTTGGAAAGTTGAAGAAGCTGAGGGTGAAGAGGTGCTACAGGGTACAGACGAAGCCGGTCAGGTCGCTGGTAAATCTGTCGAAAGAGTCGCAGGAGGAGTTGGAGTTCGAAGGATGGAACATCGAAGATCCAGGATATGATGCTAAGAGTAGAACACCGTAGTGTCATCGACGTTTCCTGGATAGGGAGTCAATGGAGTGTTCTGAACCTGATGTTGCAGCGTAATGAAATGGGCACATTAAAGTGCATAGACGTCATAATGGAAGGATAGCAAAAGTCGGAGGAAGTCGCGAAGGATATTGGGAACACAGTTCAAGAATCGTGCGCCTCCTGAATGACCAGCGATATTATTCATGTCTTCGAAGGGGACATTTTGATATACCGGGACCAAGTCGCTCAATGTAGCGACACAGAGGTTACTCTTGCTAGTCTTCCCAGCGCTAGTGGTATCTGCAATCTATGGAACATGCATGGATCAGACCCTGTTTACACCCTGAGATATGACTACGCACCGAGGATCTTGGCAATGATGAGACCAAACACCAAGTTGTCCGAGAATTCGAGCAGGATCCCATAGTTCCAACATCGACGTTTGTGCTCGATCACGGCTGGTCGTACAAGGAGCGGCAAGCCTGCCGCACAGGGCGCACAAAGCCTCCTTCTACCATTCCCTTCATCCCCAATGCTGGCCAGGTATAAACACCAAAAGCATTCCTCTTCCTCGTTTCATGCAGCCCGTTCCCATACCCGACGGCATCGTCGCACGATGGAGTGGCAAACTGCAAGAACACGAAGCTGAGTTGATTGTCAGATTCCCACCTTCGTCAAGCCAAACTAACGTTGACGTGTACGAACTAATTGAAGGGCGGGAGAAGCCGTAGGTAGTTTCGAGGCGGTCACACTGACTATTGTCTTATTGGTCAGAGGATGGCGGGGAAGCAGAAGTACGATGGGTGGTGTTAGTGGATGGGGACCAGCTGATGGCTGTAGAGCACGATGTAAAGATTGAACAGTGGCTATTATTGTCGGATACGTATCGCAGATATTGAAGGAGCAAATCAAGCAAACGAATCTGAATATGAATGAGTACGAGACTCGGAAGGAGGTAAGAGATTAGCAGACCAAAATAACATGGTGTCCAGCCAACAATAAGTGATAAGCGTCGGATAATGGCCGCTATTTCGCGCACATACACATAGGAATGGGCGTACTCGAGAAAACTCGGGTCTTTCAACTTCAGCTTCAACCTCGCATCGTAGCGCACCGGGGAGATACCGGCGCTAATATGGCCAAAGTCAAGGTTCATGTCGTCCTACCAGACGGTGAGAATGGCGTCGGTAATGGACGGGAGGAAAGAAGAAGGATGACGTGGGAATCCATAACGCCCTTCCCAAATCTGATTCCGCGGCAGTACTGTAATGACGGGGCACATGGATTCGACCGTAGAGGCAGTCACACTGGCGACCGACTCATAGGCCAGAGGATGGCAAGGGAAGCAGAAGTACCATGGGCAGAGAAGAGCCATGGATAGTGAGGATATGTAGAGTGCGATATAAATAAGATTGAACTTTGTCTTTTCTTGTCGGATACATATCGTGGATCTTGAAGGAGCAAATCAAACGAACAAATCTAAATACGAATGAATACGAGACTCGGAAAGAGGTAAAAGATTAGCAGACCAAAATGATATTACTTCCAGCTAATAGGCCGCCATTTCTTCCATTCTTCCTATGCAGAGATATTGAACGTAGCAAATGAGAGTCGAGACGGACCCTACATAGCAAAGATGTGGCATCCAGGACTCGCTGCCGAAAAGCGACATTCAGACTCCGATCCGATTTAAACCTCCCGGGCCGGACATCCTACCACAACTCTTGGCTTATCAAAAACACAAATCAAACGCCTTTGTTAGTGTCCTCACCAAAGCCGGTATTAACCTGAGGAATAGAGACCTTGTTGTAAATCCCTATGTCAACTCCATCCGACAATTCCGTCGACGACACGCCCATATCCTCCTTCTTCCGTCATCCCACTGGTATCCTTCTCACCGACCTCGACAAGGCGCGCTTCGACAAAGAGATACCCCTTCTCGAGCATCAAGTCAGATACTTCGATGAGCAGAGTGCTCTCTTAGTCTCACGGAGGGACCAAGTCACACTCTCCCTAGCAATGCGCAGATCTGCTCTTGCACCTGTGTGGCACCTCCCGCCGGATGTCCTCAGAGAGATCTTCTCTCAAGTGGCTGCTGATCATGATAGTATCGATCTCAGCGGTGGCCCGTGGACTTTAGGACAAGTGTGTGCTCCATGGCGCGACCTCGTTCTTGACACGCCTTTGGTATGGTCCAGACCCACGTTGAAGGGCGTATATACCTCTCAGTCGCTCCATGTCCTCGCCGAGTATCTTCGCCGTTCACGAGATTGTCCGCTGCATATCAGAGCAATGTTTTTTGTACATCATCCACAGTCTGCCATTCTCGACCTCCACGAGGCGGTCTTCAAGGTGCTAATAACGAGCTCGTCACGGTGGAAATTTGTGTGTTTCGTGATACCAATGGAATTCCTTAAGCATATTTCTGCTCTATGTGGGAAAATGCCCCTTTTGGAGGAGGCTCGAATCCATTTGTGTACCTATTACCGCCATAACCCTGATGGTGTCGAGTGGAGACACTTGTTTTCCAATGTCCCATCTCTACGAAAAATATCCCTTGACGGACCATTGTTTTCCGAACACATGTTGACTGGGAACCATATCACTCATTTCGCGGGATATGTCGATCGCCCAGGCGCTCTGAGGACTATCTTTAAGTTTCCCGCCCTTGTCGAGTGCCACTTGTGGTATCGTGGCTCGGGTACTGGCTCTCTACAATCACCCATCCGGCACGACCGCATCAAATATTTGGCTGTGAATACCACGCGCGTGTTGGCCGTTCTCACGTTGCCCTCACTGAAGCACCTGGAAATTGACGAGCAATATGAACGAAACGAGTGTGTCTGTGCCGAAGCGATGTCGGCTTTCATGGACAGATCTTCGTTTCATCTGCGCAGCCTATCCATGACCTGCAGGTCATTCAGAACACAGCTCATACAACCCTATTATATGCAGATGGTTGAGGATTTTGCCATAACTATCCACACCTCTGCGACATTAGTCGCAATGTTCTCCCCGACTAGGTGTGACCTCTTTCCTAAATTGCGGAGACTCCATATCAGGCTTTCCAGCAAAGTTTATCTCTCGAAAGATCATGTTCTGCTGCTCGTTAATTTCATCAGGGAGAGGTTGGATGAAGCAAAGAGTGTGGCTCTGGATGTCGAAAAATTGGATAAGGTGCAGATCTCGAGCTCGGTGCCATCCTATTTAGATGAATTTAGGAAGTGTGGGTTCGATGAATTTGAGATTGGTGTGTTGACGGTCGACCCGCAACTCCACTACTTAGAACTTCGGAACCCGCCTTGGTTTGACCATGCAATAGTAGCAGATTGACCTGGATATGTACATGATAGATGCACGCTTCTCTGCCATCTGTCTGTCTCTAGACAGTATTCATGACTTAAGCCCCATATTCACTGTTCATAGTCAGATTTAGCTTTCCATCCAGTGCCTGCCATTTGGCATTAGCAACTTGGCAATGAACAACTTTTAAGTTTAGTGCTTCGCGACATTAGCAGCAAACGCCGAGGAAAGGAAAAACAAGAACTATAATCCAGCCAAGAGCTAATCCAGTGAGTCGACCCAGGATCGAACTGAGGACCTTCCGTGACAGAGAAATGTGAGACGGATGCGATAACCAGCTTCGCCACCGACTCGACATGCTCTCAAGCTGCCGTTGCATCCTCAATTTGGAAGACCGCAAACCTTGAAATGGGCACGTGGAAGTATTTCTCATTCCTGCCATACATGACGCGACCTTGCAGTGATTATTTACCCATCTCGTCTACGCTTGAGATGTATCTAGCGTCCACCAGCCATGCCCACCGAAATCGCCACCTTTGCTTCAGGATGCTTCTGGGGTGTCCAGCACATCTTCCTCAAGCACTACCCTGAGGGCAAAGGAATACTCAACACCACCGTGGGCTACACCGGCGGCAAGGAAGACTCGACGAACCCTAATTACGAGACTGTCTGTACAGGCTCGACGGACCACGCGGAGGCGATAAAGGTCGAGTTTGACCCAGCTGTGGTGGGGTACGATGAGCTCCTCGGCGCGTCACCTTCCTTCTTGATATCAACCATGAGCCTAATGCCAACCTCGATAGAGTTCTTCTACCGCACGCACGACCCAACGACTCTGAACAGCCAAGGTAAGGATACCGGCACACGTACGTCTCCCCCACCATTCACTTTATCCCCATTTCGTCTTCTCATATCCCAGCAGAATACCGCTCTGCGATATTCACCAACTCGCCTGAACAAGCGGTGGTTGCCCGACGCGTGACGGAGGAGGTGCAGGAGAAGCATTTCACAAGGAAGATCGTCACGGAGATCGTCGAGGCTGGGCCTTGGTGGGACGCGGAGGAGTACCACCAGCTGTATCTGTTCAAGAATCCGGATGGGTACCTGTGTCCGACTCATCGTTTACATTGGTAGAAAGTGCGAAGGATTTCTTTGCTCGAAGGTTTATATGACCGTCGTGTTTCTATGTCTCCATCTATGCTGCGCTTAGCCCTTACGCTAAGCCAAAGTGTGAAGCTAGGGCTTCAAGGTTCGTGACTTCAAGGCTTGGAGTCCAAGAAAAGTTAGTGCTAGATTCCCAGCACGAAGGAGGGTAATAACCCGCCCGAGGAGCTGTTCCAGGGTGCTCAGCCGGCAAGAGTTAGATTAGAATACAACGGAGGGCGCTAGCCCACACGTTCAGAGAGAAACGCGAGTCAGATAATGATAAACATGATTGATTGTTCGAAAGATGTAAAAACTAACTAATTACCTGAAACTTACTATAAGCTTACCGTAGCCTCGATATGCTCTTATCCTGTCACACAAAGACATCGTACCGCGGGTTACATCCTCAAAAAAAAAAATCTGCGATTATGTATGTCCATCTCGTAACTTGAAAGCCATACAAGATGATAGAACGGAGGCTCGCAGCGATGAGTGGTTACAGTACGAAACCGAGTTCGAGTCCCAATGCGCAAGATTCGTTGGAATGTTTTTTTCCCTTTCTTTATCGATTCGTCTCAGACGAGTCCTCGTGCATCATCAGCTCTCTCTTGAATATTACAGGTCTCGATTTGTATGCTTTCAATGCAGACGTAGGACAATGCACATAACGTGAGATCCACGTCGATCGAGGTTACAGCAAAAATGGCATTGATGGCCAGCATCAACTAGGTAATCCTCGTATCCAAAGAAGAAGGGAAGGTACACATGCAGAAGACATTTTCCATGCGGTTATTGACTAGTACACAGCGTCTCTCCGATGCTGCATCGGCTTCTAAAACCTTCATGATTGCATCCGAAGGCGTTCAAAACGCATTCCAAGCTATACACAATCGATTAGTGTAGGATGTGATAAGCAAGGGTTCACTCACCAAGTGGAATAGACGCGTCGCCTCGCCTCGCCTAATGGCGGCGACTACTTCACTTATAGGTGAGCCTACCCTATGCATAGTTGAAGGCCCATTGAGCCACCTCTTTGTCTTCGTAATCCCTGAAAACGGGGTCTACCAGTTCGCTCCTTCTATTCCGGCCTATGATAGATGTAAGTGGGGGTACATACTCATCGAGAAACATACCCACCAGGGCCAGGTCTGCCGCCGCTAAAAAAAACGTACGTAGCAAACGAACCGATCGGTGCAGCCGCGCTGGTCCTTCAAATTATTATGACTGTGAGCACTGCGATCCTTCCACGCAGTATCTGCGGCTTCCGACCTCATATGGTGTACCTTTTGGCACGACCACCGAGGAGAGGTTTTCCAGCTCTCAACACCCGGGTCGCCGTCTTAAGCGATTATGGTCGAAGGCGCACTCTTGATAGTGGGTGGAAGCACGTTTGATGGAGGTGGTGCGAGTTTCCCATGGTACCTGCTGGGAACTCGAGGATCAGAGGTAGGCGGAAGAATCCATGCAAGAAACACTCCAAAGTCTCGGCAATTGAAGACGGCTATGTCCTCACGATACGGAAGGAGAACCGAACATCGTGTATCTGCACAGCGTCGTCGTAGGAGCGGGTAGTCAGGGTGACCCCAAGCCAACGCTTCCCACTCCACAACTTTCCAAATGTATAAAGAATCTTGTCACCCAGCAGCGTCCCAGCTAAGTATCTCTGCTGGTCAGATAGAAAGTCCAAACCACCAATGCGCATAACAATCTTTGCCCCCATCATATCAGCGCTCTCCGTCTCAGCAAGCGCAGTCAGGAGGGGAAATGCTCAATCTCCGACTGGAATTCCAGCCACCCCCGACATCGCCACCACAGCGACCTCTTCTTCTTCGTCTAGCTACGCGTCGCCGACAACGATAGGAAACACGTTGGGTTTAGAAGGGGGAACAGGCGGGCAGGAGTACACCTGTACATGCACACCCACGAGTACTTTCACTCTCAGGACACGTATTGGTATACCCGTCAGGACGGGCATGTGAAAGAGACAACGAAGAGCCGTGATTGATAGTTAGTCGCGTGTAGTGCAAAATTAGATCGATATGATGCTTAGTGTTCGGGCGATGACGTCATATGGAAACCCGTGGAGTAAATAAGCTCGACAACTCAGGATTTGAGTAGTCAGCCCGCATAAAAAGACGTCAGGATGTGACATGCGGCCTTTCTCCCATATAGCATGGTTAAACAATGCCTCTAACCTCATGAACAATGTCATCGAGCGGGCTGATTGTATTCTTGAAATGTAGTTCACTTGTAGACTTGACAACAGGTGATGAGATGGCAAAGTGATGCATTGCGAAAATATGACTAGAAAGCCAAGCAATGATCTTATGGATGGCGCTGAAGCCATGGACGGTCCAAGAGGCGCGAAATCGAGAGAAAAGAGGTGTTTGTATTTAAAGAAGTTTAGTATCTCATCTGCGGATGTATCATGGGTGACGAGGAATTGAGCATAAAAGGGCGGACTGACCGCATACCAGCACAGATATATCCACTTTTCATCAAAAAGACGATCTCGATGCCTGTACACCCATCACAATGGCAACATAACGGCTTGGCGCTCTCCGCACCGCCGCCACCTATTCCCATAGGATCCATGTAAAAAGCCCTTCTAAACAGCACAATACCCCAACTTGACGTTCACCTCTTCCCTGCCGGCCGGGGATAAACAAAAAACCCACTCCTCTTTATCACAACCTTTCTCTACCATGCAGCCCATTTCGATTTCATTCCTTCTCATCGCGCTGAGCTTCGCAGCCGCCAAGGCTATACCCGCTGTGGAGAACGCCGACGGCATTCTTGCACACAGTGCCACTTCCACCAAGACTGGCAGCCTTAGCAGTAGCACCGGTGCTGCTGAACACACCGACACTGGTGTTGGTGGAGACCAGGAGACCATGTCGAATCCGTCCTCATCGTCGTCAAGCCAAATGACTCTGACTTGTACCTGCAAACCTGCAATGGGCAAGGAGAGCACCAAGGAATTGTCTCATACGCATACGGATTCATCGACATCAAAGCCGATGAGACGTGGTAACATCAAGAGTAACATTTCAGGATGGGGAAAACGCCTAACTGGTGGTGGAAGTAAAAGTGGAGCAGAGGGGGAGGAAAAGTACACCTGCGATTGCAAGCCCAAGCATGGTAACGAACGTACCGAGTCAAACTCATCTCCTGGTGACGTGTCGGTTTCGTCTGACCCAAGCTCAAGATGAGGAGACGGAGAAGAGGATTCCGTCCTCAGATAGTCATCTGGATGATACGGAATCAAACGGCGACGATGAATTGGGTGATGACAAGACGTAGGGAATGAGAAGAAAAAAAGGACCGGACGTCAAATTTTAGAACATATATGGGCGGGGTCCATGCCCGTCCTTTCTGTTTGCTATTCGTTAATCCTAGCCCATGTTTTGGAAAGAGAAGAGACCGACCTATGGTACTGAGGACCGCTGCGACGGCAACGAATGGAGCAAGTAAATAACAGCTCTGAGAAGTCGATGAGTCTTATCTTCGTTTCGAGTGGCCACAGTGCAAGCTCACGCAAGGGCTGTCTAAGCTGTACAACAGGCGACTGCTGCCTTCCAAGATGTTTTTTCACAGCTCCAAGGCCAGAACGACAGCGCGATATTCTATTGAAAATGAGTATACAATCCACGAAGAAAGAAAAGAGACGCACAAGATCCCGACAATTATTAAGCATTAGTCTACAGGCGGGGAAGAGTACACCTGTACATGCACACCCAAGTCGAATAGTGCGCCCTCAAGACACACATTAGGATACCTGTCAAGACGGGGATGTGAAAGAGAGGAACCGAGAATGATAGTTTAGTCGTGTGTATCGCGAAATCAGAACGATTTGGTGCCTAGCGTTGGTGTGATACTGTCGATACGGAAACCCAAGAAGGGAATAGATCGACGAGTCAGGATTTGAGTTGTCAGTTCCCATAAAAAGACGTAAGGATGTGACATGCGGCTTTCTTTCCAGTATGACATAATTAAACAATACTTCTGACCTCATGAACAATATCAGAGCTGGCTGATCATATTCTTAAGTCGTAGTTCACTTGTAGACTTGACACCAGGCAATGAGATAGCAGAAATGATGGATTGAGATTAAACTAGAGAGCTGAGCAAAGATCGCCATGGTTGTTATGGACACCGTTGAAAGCCATGACAGAATAGCGAAATCAAGAGAAAGGTGTTTGCTTTTTGAAGATGTTTACTACCTCGTCTGCAGATGTATCATGAGTAATGAGTAATTGAGCGACACTAACGGAAAAAAAAACTGACCACAAATCTCCCGGTTTCATCAAAGACGATCTGGATGCTGTACAGCCATCACGATAACAGCCTGGTCACTATGGCGCTCTCCGGACCGCCGTCCCCTACTCTCATCCCACCAGAATCCTATAAAAAGCCCTTCTGAACGACACGATACCCCAACTTGAGGTTCATCTCTTCCCTGCCGGCCAGGGATAGAGGAAAAGCGCTCTCTCTATCATGCAGCCCATATCGCTCTCTTTCATCCTCATCGCGTTCAGCCTCGCAGCCGCCAATGCTATGCCCATGAAGGATGCCAATGGCATCGTTGCGCGGAGTGCCATTTCCAACGGGCGTGGCAGCAGCAGTACCGGTATTTCCGGCAACACAGACGGAGACTCGGACACCACAACGGATTCGTCCTCACTGTCATCAAGTCAGACCACTCTGACGTGTACTTGCAAGCCAACGATGGCCATGACGAGCACCGAGGGATTGGGTCCATCGACGTCGGACTCTATGAGACGTCGGAATAGTCTGAATAGTGGTGGTGGTGGAAGTGCAGACGCAGCAGGGGGTGAGCAAAAGTACACCTGCAGCTGCATATCGAGCAGCGGGCTTGATTCAGACTCGTCCCTGGGTGATGAACTAGGTTCGTCTGACCCAAGCTCGGTAGGAGATGATGGAGACGACGGAGACGATGGAGGCGATGGAGGAGATGGGGATGAAGGAGACGATGGAGACGATGGAGACGATGGGGATGGAGATGGGGATTCATCCTCAGATAATTCTGATTCAGCATCTACGGACGATACAGAATCAGATGGTGACGACGAATGAAGCGATGATAATATGTAGAGAACGCGAAGAGAAGAAAGGCGGATGTCGGATTTTAGAAGGTGTATGAGCGGGGTCCACGCCCATCTGTTTTGTATGCTGCTCGTTAGTCCTAGCTCGTACTTTGGAAATAAACTGACCTATGATAATAAATGCCGCCGCAACGGCAATATCTGGAGTGACGGAAATAACAACTTCTGGAGTCGACGAGTTTTGTCTTCGCCTTGATTGGCTACAACACCGTCGAACAAGCGAGAGCCGTCTAAGCAGCACAACAGACGATGGCTACCATACAAGATTTTTTTTCATAGCCGCAATGCTGGAGCAATAGCACGATATTCTATCGAAAACTTGAATTAATATACAATCCACGAAGAAAGAAAACAGATGCACGAGATCCCGACAATTATCAACCACTATTCTGACTCCATACTGTATCCAGAGCGTTTCAAAGATAGAACTTCCTGGAACAACTTTTGCAGGGTGCTTAAATTTGAAAGAGGAGGCGGCATTGCTGGGATGTAGCAGCATTTGGTGTCTTGAGACTGAACCGATGAAAGGGAGACGCATAGCGTGGGAATAATTGACTAGGGCATGCGGAACATCGGGCCGTCCCGTTCTTGTGTCAACCGAGCTGGGCTTTGGATGGGTCCGGGGTACACGTTTTTGATCCTCAAACTGAGAAAGTCACACCTTTGCCATAACAGATGGCAAAATACTGTAAAGTGCCTGCCGGCAACATCCATATTTTATTATCTTTGTCATCTTCAGTGTTCAACGTTCAGCCTTTAGCAAGTGGTACGTTACGCCATGTGAGTCTTCCTCTCTGGAGCATCAGAGGAATTACTCGTTTACTTGCTTCAGGAATCCTCAAGGACAACGCCCTGAAGTATTCCGGGGACTCGATCAGAACCACGAAAATTTTCAATGAACATACTTACCGACATGATTCGCAAATGGGCTTCGATTCTCCACCATAATTTTGATCTTCGAACATAGGAAAATATGTTCTCGATGGAAATCAAACACGTCAGTCATTGCATTAGATCCCCGTTTTCCAAGGCACGATTTTTTTGTGCCTCAGGTTTAAAACCACCGGCTCTGCATGTTCGTTTTCCGGTAAGTACAATTCCTGTCAGTCTGTCTTAAAGCAATAATGGCATTCATTACCGTTGCAGAAACACTCCGCCTCCCTATACCAAAGGTGCTAACTGGTAGCTGCCATCGTCTCCTCGGAATCTGATCAAACGCGCTGAATCGTTTTTCGCTTCTCCTCAAGACCGTGGTTTCCAATATTGATGCCGGTGAGAACATTGCAAGTCTCGTAAACTTTGCATTCGTTTCCTGTGTCACCGCATAACATTGTAGTACTAATACGCGTTTATAGAAACGAAGATCACCTCGGCTCAGCATGATTTTTCCCTCCTTCACATAAACCCCCAAACGGCGAGCTATCCTCCCCCTCCCGCTCCACCATGTACCTCTATCGACCACATCGCAGCCAAGGTTTTCCTTGCAAAATCTGCACCTTCAAATCCCGCGAACGCACCTTCAAGTCCCAAACAGACCTCGAAGAGCACTACCGCGGCTCGCCGAACCACCCAAACTGTTCGATATGTGGTCGAGGATTCCGAGACCAGGTCCTATGTGATACTGTCAGTTTCGTCATCCCTGGCTCGGAGAATTCAACTTATATATCTCTCTCAGCACCATGATGACGCCCACCCCCGCGTCGTATGCTCCATCTGCAAGATCACACTGTACGAACACAAGCTCCCCCAGCACTTCAAGGACTCCCCTCGCCACCCGACCTGTGATTTCTGTCCTGATGCCCCGGGTTTCGAGAACGACGCGGCATTCGCTTTAGTATACCATTTACTTCGTTTAATTCACGTCGTTTATCCTTCGTATAGCATTGCGAAGCTATGCACACTGAATTCTATTGTGTCAAGTGCCGCCGCGTATTTGACAACATCGAAGGACATTACTTGAATTCGGTTGTACACCCAACGTGTGAGCGGTGCGAGGAGCCTGTGGGTTTCGTTGGGGAAAAGGAATACACCGAGGTAAGGTTTTTTCCACTCGTTCTTACAGACACTGATTGACAATTCCAGCATGTCAAGACCACGCATCTCCGTGTATTGAAACCTGCGGTGCGTCTTCCCGTTCTGTCGACTTGATTGTAAGTCCTGAAAGGATGTCAACCCAGTTGAAATTTACAGCCTCTCCTACGCATCTTTCGTATCCTGACACGGTGCATAATCTCGTAACTTATATACTAGCCAAAATCTGACAGTCGAGTCCTGACAGAACGAGCAAGACGAGATCAACGAGGCGATGGTCCGCAAGCTCGTCGACTCAGAGGAATTACCCCCCACTGTGCGGCCCCAATTCGTATTCAACCCCTTCGATGACGACTACAAGAATGCATTCTCGGATCCACATAGATCTCATAACAATCTGATCAGCAGCAGAGACGCGCCGTCGCTCCTGGGATGTCAGCCTCCTAGCAGGAACCTATCCGTTCACTGCCGCTCTTGCCTAGCAAATCCGTGCCACGAGACGACCGCAACTACTTGCGGACACATCTTCTGCAAGAGGTGAGTAATTCTAACAGCGTGGCGGAACTCACGCTAAGAGTCTCATAGATGCATAACCGAGAACATAGCATCAACGTCACGCTGCCCAGTATGTGGCGAAATGACTCTGTTGTATATGTTGTTTAAATTGTATCTCGACTAATATGGATGTCCTTTAGAAAAGATGTAGTATAAACAGCGCCTTCTTGTCTCGACCTATACAATGAACACTTTTGAACTTTCTTGTCCCAGATGTAAGGAAGAAGATCCATACTGAAAATCATTGTATTTTCACCTAATTATAGGATATATTGGTTACATCGGAAGCACAGCAGGAAGGGAAAAGATAAAGGCAAAAGAGAAGGAGACTAAGCTGATATAGATATGAGTCCATCTCGTTTCGAGCCGCAAATTCGAACAGATCGGAAGCTACATTTGTTATGACAGTGAAATCTATGGACCGTAGTAAGTAAGATAATATAATATGATAGTAATAAGGGTATACGCACCTCAGTCAGTCACACGGTGATGGTAGTGAACGACTGAGGTGCGGCAAAGTAGCTCGGCCGTGGTTAAGGGCCCGAGTTAGGAGTAACGATCTAAAGATAGATATCAAGAAACGAACGATCAAGAAAAAATAGCAGGCATAGGCTGAACCTAAAGAGTAGCGCGTCCTGGTAGTTTGGAGCGGGCCGGGGCGGTCCAAGCAGCCGTGAATTGACGAAAGAATCAAATTTTCGTCCGGAACTTCCGTTTCGGGTCCATGCTCCGATTTGCTTCCCGCCCCATCGTCCTTCATCTACGCTCCTTCGCCACCACCTCCGTCGCCATGGGCAAGAACAATAAGAAGAAGAGCTCCCGTCCTCATCATGATCTGATGACCTCCGATTTCCCTCAGCACGCGTCGACTTCCCAGTCTACGATAATCGATACCCATACGCATCTTCTCTCCACGTTTGCGCTGTACCGTTCCAAGTACCCTGAAGGGCAGTATGAGACAGCATTTGACTTTGTCAAAGGCGTGTACGCGGGTAAGGGGGTGGAGACGATAGTCGATGTGTGGTGCGAGCCGGAAGTGTTCATGCGAGGGACATGGAAGGAGCTGGCAGATGGGAAATGGGAGAGCATCAAGTATCGATTCGTTATCGGTACGTACTATTTCTCTTTCCAACTACTTTTCTCATCTGCACCCAACAGGCGTTCACCCGTATGTCCTGCAACTTCAAACCTGGCTCTCGTCGCAATGATTTTCATCCAGACACGAAGCAAAATCCTTCACCCCTGCTGTGGAGTCCGAGATTCTCACTGCACTATCGCATCCGTCCTGTGTTGGCCTTGGTGAGATCGGGCTGGATTACCACTACACGCTCTCGCCGCCAGACGTCCAGCAACGGGTGTTTGCCCATCAGTTACGGATAGCCGTGGATCGCGGTATTCCTATCACGGTGCATACACGGGAAGCAGAAGAAGACACAGAGAGAATCATGAAGGACATTGTACCAAAGGACCACCGGGTACGTCTTTTTCTCTACCTGACTGCTGACAGTACTGATTATATGTGTAACGACAGGTCCACATCCACTGCTTCACCGACACCGCCGCCTTTGGCCTCCGCCTCCTCGACCACTTTCCGAACCTCCATATCGGCGTGACAGGCGTCGTCTGCTACGCATCGAACGTCAACACAGTCGAGCTCCTCAAGCAAATGGCGGCCACTGGTAACAAGCGGATCCTGCTGGAGACCGACGCGCCGTATATGGTCCCGGCGAACGTGTACAGCGCACTGGAGCCCAAGCAGTCGAGATTGCCGTTCTCCCACTCGCTGATGATTCCCTGGACGGCAGAGTTTGTGGCAGACGTTATGGGCGAGGGGTGGGATACGGAGCAGGTGTTGGATGTGGCGAGGGAGGGTGCTAGGAGGGTTTATGGTGTCTGAAATTTGAGAGCCGTAGCGGACGAGAGTGGCTCCATGGCCATCTCATGATGAGGATATTAGTGGGCACATCGCTGAAGAGGAAGCGGTGGCTCAAACTCTGAGATGGTATGCATGACCACTTCCGTTTTGTCTCGCTTCCTTCCAATCTCAGCTTTGCAGGGGCAGATCATGGTGTTAGAAAACATTCTGTTGTATATTCTATCACGTTCTTGCATGCTGAGATTCAAATCGACGTTACCTTCCCACAGCCAACCACACGTGTCCAGCAATATGACGAGGAGTTCAAGCCAAGGAGCATATTCTCCTACTAGAAAGCAGAGATGAAAGAGACATTCTCTGTGTCATGACGAATTCCGAGTTCCTACCAACCCTTCTGAGCTTCGCTCTCTGTCTCTCGCTTGGGGAGATATCATTTGTGAGGTCAACATTCAAGTCTGACTGCAGGATGTGCACTAGCATGGAGAGCAGATCCCTCAATAATGAGCAACCCTGTTATTAGTCATTTCACATCAAAGATTCTTAAGTACACTTGTAGCTTCTACTTGCTAGAGACTAGCAGAAATTTATTCCTTTTTCTTATACTGAAAAAGTTGGTCCTCATCTATGTACAATGTTTTCCTTTAAATATTAAAAACCTCTAGGTTTGCATTCACATCCACTGCAGCTCCTGATTACTTCTCCTCTAACACTTGATCTGATCCATATCAGCATGATACCACTAACTTGCCATGTGGATCTGCTCTCCTTGGTTAGATTAGCTACATCTTCTATATTTGGTGCCATTCCAATAGCTTTATGAGGCTATCCACTGCCACTGATCAATCCACCCCTGGCAGGGCAAACATTCATCTATGTGTATCCCTCTGATCAAGAATGACATGATACACACCTAGGTAGCAGACAGCAGATGCCCATCTGCCTCATATCACAGACTGTTGATCACACAGGGATGAGCAGTTCCCCAGGTGGATTGTGCAGAGGTTCTGTTCTTAAGTGTTGATGGAGCAATAGTTCTTTGCATTTCAAAAGTGAGTTACTTGCTATACAGTTGTCTTGGTGTTGTGATAGACCTAGAGCTAGAAAAGCCAAAATTTGGTGCCCACAAAACTGTGGTGTAGCACAGTGAGTTGGGCACAAGTTTATTATTGCACTGTTGCATAATCCTATTGTGTGACCATCATGCCATTACTAGCTGGGTGTCATGAGATGATAAGTCAGACACAGCATAGTATCATCATGCATGTGTCATTCATAGTTCTATATAGCTCTGGTGAGGTTTCTCTAAATTTCATTGGCTTTCCTAAGCATCAGCAGGTCATGATCAGAGATTAAAATCATGACAAATTATAGATAAAAATAATTGCTTGTCAAGATAGAAAATAGGTTTAACAATAGCATTTATTAGATTGGCAACAGCTATTTGCTCAGAGTTCTGTCAGTGCTATTCTTTGATGCAATTTTTGAATCAGATCTTTTGAATATTTATAGAGACTCAACCATCTATAGAAAGAACTGTTTTATCTTTAAATTATGCTTGGATTTTCCATCTTTTATCATCTCTTCAACTTTTATGATAATAAACAGCATTGTTGAATAATATATAAATCTATGAATTCTGAGTATACAGAGCCTAGAGGCTCATCAGCAGGTGAAAGGTATGCATCTATTGAATAGAGATAAATATTAGCTGAAAGACAAAGTAAACTTCATGAGATAAGAGTCTGAAAAATATAACTACAAGTCTCAATAACTCTACTCCTATAGCAAATCCACAAGTCATGAATATTGTCTCTAGGATAATCATTACATTATGTGGTATCTATAATTAGTGACTGCAATAAGAAATTTTATTATACCAGATTAGTATAATCTACAATCAGTGTCTCTGCTAGTATTGTCATGATTTTAGCCTCTAAATCATATCCACCCAAGGCTTGGTTTGAGGCACTGAGACAATGGCTTAGTTGAGATCACTAAGACTTTTCTATACAGTATTTAAGTCAGTAATATACAGTGATATACTCTAGTCTTAAGCTAAGGTCAGTATACTAATCAAACTCCTAAACTCTTGATTTGACTACCACTTTAGTACCAACACTGGCAGTCATAGTCTATCAACCTCTAAATTCCTGTCTCTTATCATCATCCTAAACATCCTCATTCTCATTCTTCTGCTTTATCTTCAGTTAGTGTCAGACTCTGGCTGTTGCAGTGCATTGCATTTGTGATTATTTGATTGTCATCTGACATTTAGCTTGAGACTTCTCATGCTCTGGTCTAAAGATCTTTGACTCAGGAAAATTTTCAAAAATATATCAAAAGGAAACTCTATCACTTTCACTCTCACAGGCATGTGCCTGACAATTTTAGTAATCAATTTTATTTTTTATAATGTCATATGGACTCTATAGAGAAGAGAGTGATGAAGAAGAGAACTGGAAGAGTGAAGAATCCAGCAGCAAATAGCCATAACTTATAATGCTATTTGACCAGCCTTCTACACACTCTCAAGTCAGGAGGAGATCTACATCTGATCATCCAACCTAATTTCCAGCACTATTTTCTTTAGGAGAATGGCTAGAAATCTCAGCCCTCCAATTGTCAAGTAGGATATCACTGATGAGCTCATCCATTGGCTTGATACATATAGCACCAAGAGGATGGAGCTCCATTTCTTCAAAATGATGGGTGACAACCTCTGAAAAGGATACAAGTACATCACAGAATAGCAACAAGAAGTGGCTGAAGGATCTGAGAGCACACTACTGGCAGCTGAGGCATACTCAGATGGCTGATATACAGTGGGTAGTCTCAGAGGAAGGAGAAAGATATATCAGTATAGCTCAATCAAATCAAAAGTTTATTGATGAGATGTGGGTATATCACATATACAAGAGGTTGTTAAAGCTAAGAAAGAAGGACAGCACTCTAAAGTGGCAGATCCTTACACATCACCATTCTGAATACCACACCAGCTACCATTGACTATGGAGAGCCAATATAGCTGCAGTAGCCAAAACCCTTTTTATGAGTATTCTGAGTCATTACTGCCATTTCTGAGTGGCTTATTTGCTGACACTGGACAAGAAGATGCATTAGCAGGACCACCAGCTGGGTTAGCAGAATCTATTACACCCACAGCATTAGCCCAATCAGTAGCACTATTGCCATAGAGACTGCATTATGATAGACAATTACAATCATTCCTCTGATCTCAGAATCCAGTTTTGCCACTATCTCTAAGTGAGCTACTATCTGACACTCTACCTTTTTGGCAGCCTGAGAGCATAGATCCATGGAGCAATCTCAAACCCACAATTGTGAGAGAACCATTAGCATTTGAGAGCAAGAGCTCAGACAAAAATCAGTTTTTTAACCAGTATAAAGCATACTTTGAGATTTATAGCATGTATTTTGTAATGAGTGCCAGTGGGTTCAGTCCACATTGGGTCATCTTCTGCTCATCAAGGTTTGAAGGCAAGACATATGAGTGGTGGGACCATCAGGAATCCCATCTTCATAATTGACTCATTGAACATTGGTGGTATCCATCATACTCTGATTTCAGGCATGCAGTGACTAGCTGATTCAAAGAGGATGCAGAAATAAAACTATGACAAATCAAGTGGAGGGCATTAAGACAGATCAACTACAAGAATGCTAAAGTGTTTTTTCAGAAGTTTGAGGAACTGGCATACTAGGCAGAAAAGTTGGAAGACAGGTCTATCATGCTAGAGCAGGTGGAGAATGCAATCTGCATCAATATCAAGAACAAAATTGTATCAGAGGATAATGACATTCCAATCATATATGATGAATGGAAGCATCAAGTCCTGCAGATAGACTATAACTACTGTATTAATGTTGCAGAAGAAAATAGCTATACTGCAGAGGTGAGAAGTACTAAGACAAGTGCAGCTGGATCATTCCAGAAGGGATCTGCACTGACAGGAGATGACAAGAAGATCTCAACTGGTGTAACATATAAAGGCACAGGACAGCCAGTAGATATAGATGCCCTTCACAAAGAGGAAAGATGTTTCAATTGTGAAGAGAAGGGACACATGCTTTGTGCATACTCAAAACTCCACCATCCATATATCCTACCTATCATACAAGACACTTCAAAAGCAAATGATGCAGTAGCATCTCAAAGAATTTGAGAGATGAATTTTTCTGATGAAGAATGGTTGGAACTCAGTAAAATGTACTGAGAAGAGCAAGCTGCCAAAAGGGCATATGATAAATTGAATCAAGTAAAGATGGCTGAACCTCAAGAGGGTTTTGGAAAGTAGTCTCTTGATGCATATATGAGTAGTATACTAACATTTTCTTAAATATGCAAGCAGACAACACTAATATAGTGCATTCACATCCAGACACTGTACTTACTGCTACTAAACAAGTTTCTGTAGGTTCCAATAATAATTACTCACTGCTCACTATTGAAAAAACCAGTATGCAAATAGAGACCTTATCTGATAAAGAGATAGTCTGTTAGACCTCTATTAAACACTCACAAATATCTAACACTGCTTCCACTGGGGTCTGATTCTAGGTTCTGAGTCTGGGTCTGGTTTTGATATAAAAGTATAATAAGGATGATAAGATAGGCAATAAGGATTTCATAGATAGGGATGAAGAGTTGTGGCTGGTAAATATAGTCTGCTGTTGTGGCAAGAGTATTTGCACCAGGTAGTCAGAGAGTTTAGCAGGTGTATTAAATCTTAGCTCAAGACTGGGGTACATCAGTGTGTATTACTGTCTTATATACTGTCTAGAGAATCCTATGCTCTACAGATGACTATTGTCTGCCTTCCATGCCCTCTGCTCATTGTCTGAAATAACAATGACTGTGCTCTTGCTTTTGTTCATTATTGTTACTCTGCTATACTGTCACTATGGTGAGTTTTCCATATACTACAGTTCCTATTGTGTTCAAGATGTGGAATGGCAATAGTTACCATATTGTTTCTTGTCATCTTATTGTGCATTGATGA